CAGAACAGTGTGGTGCTAGGTAAAGACGTTTGGGAAGCAGAACACTGAGACGCTAGACATTCAGAACAGGGTGGTGCTAGGTAAAGACGTTTGGGAAGCAGAACACTGTAACACTAGACATTCAGAACAGTGTGGTGCTAGGTAAAGACGTTTGGGGAGCAGAACACTGTGACGCTAGACAATCAGAACAGTGTGGTGCTAGGTAAAGACGTTTGGGAAGCAGAACACTGTAACGCTCGACAATCAGAACAGTGTGGTGCTAGGTAAAGACGTTTGGGAAGCAGAACACTGTAACACTAGACAATCAGAACAGTGTGGTGCTAGGTAAAGACGTTTGGGAAGCAGAACACTGAGACGCTAGACATTCAGAACAGGGTGGTGCTAGGGAAAGACGTTTGGGAAGCAGAACACTGTAACACTAGACATTCAGAACAGTGTGGTGCTAGGTAAAGACGTTTGGGAAGCAGAACACTGTGACGCTAGACAATCAGAACAGTGTGGTGCTAGGTAAAGACGTTTGGGAAACAGAACACTGTAACACTAGACAATCAGAACAGTGTAGTGCTAGGTAAAGACGTTTGGGAAGCAGAACACTGTAACACTAGACATTCAGAACAGTGTGGTGCTAGATAAAGACGTTTGGGAAGCAGAACACTGTAACACTAGACAATCAGAACAGTGTAGTGCTAGGTAAAGACGTTTGGGAAGCAGAACACTGTAACGCTCGACAATCAGAACAGTGTGGTGCTAGGTAAAGACGTTTGGGAAGCAGAACACTGTAACACTAGACATTCAGAACAGTGTGGTGCTAGGGAAAGACGTTTGGGAAGCAGAACACTGTAACACTAGACATTCAGAACAGTGTGGTGCTAGGTAAAGACGTTAGGGAAGCAGAACACTGTAACGCTAGACAATCAGAACAGTGTGGTGCTAGGTAAAGACGTTTGGGAAACAGAACACTGTGACGCTAGACATTCAGAACATCGTGGTGCTAGGTAAAGACGTTTGGGAAACAGAACACTGTGACGCTAGACAATCAGAACAGTGTGGTGCTAGGTAAAGACGTTTGGGAAGCAGAACACTGTAACACTAGACAATCAGAACATCGTGGTGCTAGGTAAAGACGTTTGGGAAGCAGAACACTGTAACACTAGACATTCAGAACAGTGTGGTGCTAGGTAAAGACGTTTGGGAAACAGAACACTGTAACACTAGACATTCAGAACATTGTGGTGCTAGGTAAAGACGTTTGGGAAGCAGAGCACTGTAACACTAGACATTCAGAACAGTGTGGTGCTAGGTAAAGACGTTTGGGAAGCAGAACACTGTAACACTAGACAATCAGAACAGTGTGGTGCTAGGTAAAGACGTTTGGGAAACAGAACACTGTGACGCTAGACATTCAGAACATTGTGGTGCTAGGTAAAGACGTTTGGGAAACAGAACACTGTAACACTAGACATTCAGAACATTGTGGTGCTAGGTAAAGACGTTTGGGAAGCAGAGCACTGTAACACTAGACATTCAGAACAGTGTGGTGCTAGGGAAAGACGTTTGGGAAGCAGAACACTGTAACACTAGACAATCAGAACAGTGTGGTGCTAGGTAAAGACGTTTGGGAAGCAGAACACTGTAACACTAGACATTCAGAACAGTGTGGTGCTAGGTAAAGACGTTTGGGAAGCAGAACACTGTAACACTAGACAATCAGAACATCGTGGTGCTAGGTAAAGACGTTTGGGAAACAGAACACTGTGACGCTAGACATTCAGAACATTGTGGTGCTAGGTAAAGACGTTTGGGAAACAGAACACTGTAACACTAGACATTCAGAACATTGTGGTGCTAGGTAAAGACGTTTGGGAAGCAGAGCACTGTAACACTAGACATTCAGAACAGTGTGGTGCTAGGGAAAGACGTTTGGGAAGCAGAACACTGTAACACTAGACATTCAGAACAGTGTGGTGCTAGGTAAAGACGTTTGGAAAGCAGAACACTGTGACGCTAGACAATCAGAACAGTTTGGTGCTAGGTAAAGACGTTTGGGAACCAGAACACTGTAACGCTAGACATTCAGAACAGTGTGGTGCTAGGTAAAGACGTTTGGGAAGCAAAACACTGTAACGCTAGACAATCAGAACAGTGTGGTGCTAGGTAAAGACGTTTGGGAAGCAGAACACTGTAACGCTAGACAATCAGAACAGTGTGGTGCTAGGTAAAGACGTTTGGGAAACAGAACACTGTGACGCTAGACATTCAGAACAGTGTGGTGCTAGGTAAAGACGTTTGGGAAACAGAACACTGTGACGCTAGACATTCAGAACAGTGTGGTGCTAGGTAAAGACGTTTGGGAAGCAGAACACTGTGACGCTAGACAATCAGAACAGTGTGGTGCTAGGTAAAGACGTTTGGGAAGCAGAACACTGTAACACTAGACAATCAGAACATCGTGGTGCTAGGTAAAGACGTTTGGGAAGCAGAACACTTTAACACTAGACAATCAGAACAGTGTGGTGCTAGGTAAAGACGTTTCGGAAGCAGAACACTGTAACACTAGACAATCAGAACATTGTGGTGCTAGGTAAAGACGTTTGGGAAGCAGAACACTGTGACACTAGACAATCAGAACATCGTGGTGCTAGGTAAAGAGGGTTGGGAAACAGAACACTGTGACGCTAGACAATCAGAACATTGTGGTGCTAGGTAAAGACGTTTGGGAAGCAGAGCAGTTAGACAGTCGAACCATCATGCAACCAGGGAAACGGAATGCTGTGAAACTAAGACTTATACATGTATGTTTTCCACACAAACTCCAGCATCCGTACCACGGCATCCTCAAGTACCCAGTGTTTTATGTCTTTATTCTTGACATAAACCATAGAGTGAATATTTGAGAATGCAACCACTGTTATAATGAACCCTTCAAATGATATTCCCCCCTTTTCACACATCACTCCTTCCCCTGATGAATTAGACAATTGTTATCATTGGAATATTTCCAAGTTAAACCCCCCGTGTCAATACATTACGATGCATGCAGTCTTGAAACAGGTTTGTTTGTAGGGCTTGAGCGATAACCTCTCTCTCCCCCACAGGAAGCGTTATCCGGTTAGAGCGAACCCCGCAGTGTTGTAAAGCACGGCTCACAGTGCAGGAGAGACCGCCCACCTTAACTGGGACTCACCTGGGAATGTAGACAGCTTTGTGGACAGTTTACCTATCTTACATACCTACCCAGGAGTGATACATCGTTGTGTTATGTGGCATAGATCAGCTTGATAAGTGATCACGGGGTGTGGAGCGGACGTATTGAATTCTGGAACGTAGTATAATCTGTCATGGTATCATTTGACATGATGAGGATCATGTTCTGCTTCTGTGTCCTTTCTATTGCCATATATAAGTACAGTAAAGTACGGTTATAACGAACTCAAAGGGACTACTAATTTTAGTTCGTTATAACCGTAGTTCGTTATAAGCATATATACAGCATAATACAGCTAATTATCGGGACCAAAAAAGTAGTTCGTTATATCCGTCAGTTCGTTATAAGCGTGTTCGTTATAACCGTAGTTTACTGTATATATTACCTGAAAAATACATCGCACGTTGGGGATAGAGAAAGTATACACCCATGTTTGATGGTGGCTAAAAATGAAACAAACAAGAAATGGTTATTCGATGGGAATGTATTTGCTAAGGGTATCATAGTTGTGTGTTGGACTTAAGTTCGGAGTGTTTCGTCGATTGTTTTCAGCATAGTAACGTTTTGATAACGTTGTAATTGTTTTGGCCAATTACAATTTTAAAGTGTATACTTTCCCTTGCCCGGCAGTGTATATTTCGTTTATTAAGAAACACTGAAATGTATTTGCATCGTGCAGAAATGTACAGAATGTTTGTTATGTATAAGTTTAAGGCAGCCTATTAATAAGCAGTGTACATACAATGTACTGTCGGCCTATGGCCTCCTAGGTACGGAAATACAACAATATTTAACTTATTTTAAAGTTATAAAGTTACTTTATATGCTATGCTACACAGGTATGTACATGCCATTGATTGGCAAGTTGACCGATGACAAAATAGACACAATGTATGGATAACAACTTCGTTATTTTACTGTAGTAGCGACGTTTAGGTACCGTTGTCAAGCAAAACTGAATACAGAACACTGACTGTTTTGGGAATTTCTGATTGTAGATATATTTCAATAATGAACATGGTTCATATATAATTATATATAGTAGGTGAAGGATTAACAGTCAACAATAATTTGCATACATGAGAAAAAATGAGTAGATTAAATAAAACACCAGGCCCCGGTTGTATCAAACTGTAATGATGCCATTAATTAATCGTGCATTAAGAATTTAATGTATCATTAGGGTTTAATGTAGCCATTAGTTAACGAGGCTTTGATACATACGGGTCCAGAAGTATAATATTGTAACAACATGATGAGGAAGCCAATTAAACAGGATAGGAAAATGCATTAGTTCTTGATGACTTCACAGTAGGCGGATGGGATGAAATAGCCTTGATCTATGTTGATGGAAGGCTTGTGGCGGATAATATGGACTGCATCTGTTAGTTTTATTTTAGTAAAGTCACAGAGGTTGTAGAGGATTTGGACGTTTTCCCAATTGATGTTGTGATTGGGGCAGTTGCTGATATGGTCCAAGATGGCTGTGTTTCTGCCGCCAAGAATCTGAAAGAGAAATTTACAAAACTGACTGTAGCTGTGGACAATCCTATGTGAAAACATACCACCCCATCAGCATCAGAATCAAAGAACACAAAACTTCAACCATGAAATGAGAAAGTAAATGAGGCATCTCAGACAACATCAACAAAATAGTGGTGACAATTAAAAGAATGGATCTTTGAAAACCAGTGCAGACGGCATGTATTCGCAAATGTATATTTGAAATATCCCAGTTAATACCCTTTGTTCACTCTAGGAAGCGATGTTTTGAGACGTTTCTCTATTGTTTCAGAAAACAGTTCAACGACGCCGTATGATTCAACCACCACCAACACCACAGTCAGAGTTTACACCAACAACGACTCTGGAAGAATAGGTAGGTGTCAGTGGTATTTGGCAGCAGAATAAAATCTCCCCCATTCTTTCTTCAACCATCTTCTGTGTGGGCATAATACATGTAGTTGTTGATTGCATATATAAGCGTTGTGTTTGATTAGTAAATATTTCCTGCCTAAATCCCCCATGATGTCATTCTAAATCCGAACAAATGAACGCCTTCACGACTGTATCAAAAACTATTGGCCATATCAACATTTTGCAAATGTTGATAAATGTTTCCTGCCAAAATTCCCCATGATGTCATTCTAAATCCAGAACAAAATGAACCCCTTCACGACTGTATCAACAACTATTGGCTATATCAACATTTTGCAAATGATTGATCAATATTGAAAATAGTGATAGAAACTGCCGGGCAAAAGAAAGTTATATACGTGTAAACACAGCCAACATATTTCAGAATTTTACCAAAAAACATTCCGTCAGATTGACTAAAAGTTATCCAAAAGTTCTAAATAGACTAATTATGCGAGGATTAGGAACCCAAAAATTCAAAACAATATATTAATATACATTGACTTTCGTCTCTTTTAATCCTATCATGTTCAGGCACTGGGTGATAAAATAGAGCAAACATATGTTTGGAATTCGTTATCATGAAATAATAAATTGATTTTGGGGGCAAAATTACTGAAATATTTTGGCGTTTTGTAAATCATGTATACATGTATACGCTTGAAAACGGATTTGAGCACAAATTACAAACGTTGTCAAAAAGTTACAAGGCTGAAAACTCGCCGAAACACCGCAAAACCATGATACCCGTATCAAATACATCACCAACGAATAATCATGTCGTATTGGTTTCATGTGTAACCACCATCAAACATGGGTGTTCACTCTCTTTTGCACGGTAGTTAAGTTGGAATACTGTTGAGTGCATCATCAAACAAACAAACAAACAAACAAACAAGCAATCTCATGAACCAAATGTTATAATTGGGATGACGCTCTTCTTAGTAAAGTACAAATTCTAGTACTTTTGGGTTGGAGTGCCATCTGGGAGTCGAACCCGCACTCTCAGAGTGAGGCACCTAATCGGCAGCACAGGAAGTCACTGACTAACCTACTCAGCCACCGAAGTTTCCACAAAAATGGAAGTTCGACAACTGGTAGTCTAGATCACGTACTGGCATGTGTAAATTGGCACGGCTCCCATGACCGAAAGCTATGGATACACAATGACTTTTAGAAAGTGGTTAAATGTAACAAATGTTATAATTAGGATTGCACTTTCCTAGTAAAGTACACGTTAGTACTTTTGGGGGTTTACTCCCATTTTCAGTATGCTTTATATGGCGTTTAATCTCTTTTCAATACAAATTAAGATGTTTTCACTTCGCTTTATTTGGCTTCCCACTAGCTTTCCCTGGTTTATATCAATGTAACTTTTCCTACCCTGTGTAAACATATCTGCCTGTATATATGAACTCAACACATACTACTGTGAAAGGACAAGAAGTAGCCCCGAGGCGTTACAGAGAATTGTGCAGTAGTTATTCATAAGTTTCAAGATTTAAACACAAACTGTTCGATATGCATGGTCCTCAACACGTACCCCTCCAGCCGATAATCAATTCAGTTAGTCACCGACAGCCCGTGCGATAACAAAGTCAAGCTTAATCGACAACTGCGTTCCATAACGCCGCTTATCTACGGACAATAAAGTAGGTCGTTATGCAAATTATCGCTACAGCTAAAGCAATGCTGACTTCACCAGCATTCCCCTCACAACCTGCGCCGTGCGGCAAACCTGCTGGACCTATTAAGGGAGAGTGAAGCGACAACCCTTGCCAAGTGACCTGTGACGTACGCCCCAGACAACCCCCCCGGTGACTACAGTGTCACCATTTCCCCACCAGCGTTCTAACAAAGCGGACGCTCTTCACTGTGCAAGGATACGTTCTTTGTCCCGTTCTTTTCACGTTAAACCCGCATTTGTGCAGTTTCTGGAGAAACAATGGAGGGTAATTATGTCTGAAGTCTTTGTTTATGTGATGTTGTTATTGTTTTATATCCAACTGACCATTTGCCAAACGTACACCACGAGATTGCCGACTGGAGTACTGCGTCGCATTGGACTCAAGGCTGAGTTGTTTACGTGTTTGTGAGTTTCTTATCACTTATTCGCTCAATTTGGTTGTCTTTCAGGGCTTGTTGTCGGAGTTATTTGTGGAGTATTGGCTGGAATCGCCGCCTTCGCCATTATCGTCACAATCTGGATCAAGAACAAGAGGTGGGTTGTAAACATAATGAAAAACAATGTTCGTCCCTTCATTGTGGCTTCGGTTAGGTTCCATGGACACGCATACTGCCTGCTGGCGGTGTATCTAGCCTCAAAATATGTCTAGAATGTATTCATGCTTCTCGGGAAGATATACCAGTTTGTTTAAATATATCTGTGTTCACTTTGAATAGAGATAAAAATATTTACGATATCTGTGTGTAGTTTAGATATGGCATATTGAAAGTCGAATGAAATGAAATAGACTGTGACTATTAACTCACAGCAGTTATACTTGATGTTATTGTTGATATGAAATGCTGTTGATGAAACGATCTGAATTCAAACACGCTTTCAGTTATTTTGGGAGCTGTATTTTAATCACGCACATACAACCCACTCACTGAATATGAAATAGGATAGACATTATGCTGATAACATACCACAGGGAAATATTCTTTTTATAAGCGAGGTGGATATTTCAATTTTATCTTGGCGTCAGTTTGGAAGAATGCCCAAGTTATTCAGGCTGTATATGTTGGGTCAGAGACGTATATATATATTACTTATATGTATATATACGTCTTTGGTTTGGCGGATATAATGAAGTCAGACCAAGGGTCATAATTGGGATGCACTGGGATTCGAACCCACGATCAGCTGAACATGGGATTCTGCTTGACTTCCCGTATATTCTCCCAAACTGACATGAGGCTATGTGTCTTAGACACCGTATCGTACTTCCTTTGACATACACTATCACTGATCAAACATCATCAGATTTTCTTCTGCTTCCTTACTTTTTCCAAATAAATATTTTTAGTAAAGTGTCATCTTATTCATATATTGTATAACATGTATATTCAAACAGGAAACATTTGTGACTCTCCCTTGTGTTTTTTCTTTTACTGAATAATTTGAATCTTCAGGCAAAGTCATTTATTATATTTCTTGAAATCAGGGACCGTGACTCGGAGTATGCGAGAGCGGCCAAGGTCCAGCGCAACTCTGCCTTGAGTGCCGGCGTCTACAACGACCTGACAACGGCGTCCCCTATCGTGAAGGTGTCCATCGATCAGCATAAGGAGGGCTCCGAGATGGAGAGTCTGAAGAAGGAAGAAGAGGAAGAATAGAGCTGCGGGTGACTGAAGAAGAAAGCTAAACAGACATTTGCGAAAATGCATCATGAAAAAGCTCCACCAGCAAGTCCCCTCTGGGACCAAAACGAGATTGTATATATCTCAGTCATGTTTCGACAATTTGGACCATTTCGGAAATATAACATTTGACCTTTTATGGAGGCAATAGTGTACAGGCCTAGCTCAGGACAGTGTTATAGTGCTGACACCTTTGTACATTGTTGTGTGGAATCGCCCACGTGCTAATCACCAGAGTATTTCGGACCAAAACGTGGGGAAATAACCTTTTTTGCAACATTGCCCAAAATATCCAAGCCTTCCTCGGAGTTGTTCGTGATCAAACATCGACAGACATGACTTGACATAAACTACGTGCTGTGCCACCGATACGATGAATTCGTCACGTGATACACGAGAAGATGCTGTACTTCACGTTGTCAGACCAAGATAAAGAAATGGAAAATGATGACGCCGTTCTTATCTAATCACCAGGTCAAGTTTCGTTTCATTATCCACCAGAGGAGTGCCTTGTTCGAGAACCTTCACATAAGGTGATCTTTATGCACAAAGTATTTCTAGTGGATCTTTTAGCACCATCTTTGTACGTTCCATGTGTACGTCTCCATAGCTGTGATTTATCAATACATCAAAAAGTAGAACTGAAAATGGATCAACATTATGCGATTGTTTAGTAATTACAATACCAGAAACGTTTTTTTCATTCCCTTCACATTCCAATCACACATTCCCATGAACATGTACATAGTTTTGCAATAAATTATTATTCGTATGCTTGCTTGTTGAATCATAATTTAAGGGTGTTGAGATCGAGAATGAGCTTGATGGAGGTCTTATTTTGAAGTATTATAATGATCTCGTGGCTTTCTTTGTCATGAAGCCAGAACGTAAAGTTCAGAACAGTTTCACAAAGAAATATAAACACAATACAAAGGTGCAGTCAACAAAGGTTGCAACAGCTGCGCTATGTACCTGATATTGCCTACTGAGGTTACACAAAGTCCTCGCTCTGCGTGACAGGCTGTTAGGTTGTCCTCCCTCGGTAGGACGGGGACTGTTGTGTTGCACAATGCCCACAGCTCATGAATCTGTTACCCAATACGGATTTCCTCCATAACATCTTGCATCATGGTACTTTCGCTTTCTAAAATTACGTATGACATACGAGTTACGTAGAGAAACCGCGTGATGGATGAACACGCATTACTCTCCGATTATCCGCTTAAGGTCACATTAGCATACGACGGGTTGTGATTGTGTCAGCAGGTTCACCTTTTGCCCAGGGGTCATGTGCAGGGTGTAGGCTAAACATGTCGCAGGGACGGGGATTGTGGGGTCGCAGTACTCCGTCAGGGTCCAGGGTCACCCTAACAGTTACCTAAGAGCGGTGGGTCGTCAGCCAGCTAGCTGTTCTCAAGCACATCCTCGGTTGACAGTATATTACATAGAGGATTCATCACGAGTGTTTTTTAATATGGGAAATATCAACCGAGTCTTAGTTAATCGGTATTTGCCGAGCCTTTGGCGAGGCAAATACCGATTAACGGGACAAGGTTGATATTTCCCATATTAAAAAAAGACCGCCTCCGTGATCTTGTGGTAGAGCGTCCGCCCGGAGAGCGGAAGGTCCAGGGTTCGATCCCGGGTCGCGTCATACAAAAAGACGTTAAAAGATTGTACTTGTTGTTACCCTGTCTGGCGCTCGGCATTAAGGGGCTAAAACAAGGACTGGTCGGCTCGGAGTCAGTATACTGTGTCTGAGTGGGGTATTCATGTTAAACTGCGGCATGGTATCTCAGTGAGCTAGCACTATAAATCGGCATCAGTCCGGACTAGTACAAGCAGCCACACACACACATACACGTGCATGCACGTCGCTATATAAGTGCAATAATCTTGGACGCGACGTTAAACCCAATTTCACCTCACCTCACACCCATATTAAAAAATACGAGTGATGAATTCTATTTATCATTTTCACATTTTTGCTTCCTAATTAAGGAATAATTGCATTAAACATTAACATCAGCAACTTGTCGAAATCTTACGAATAGATCGTGCGTAGTGATACATGTAGTGTAAACCAAAATAAACAACCTCCTAACTCCTTTATGGCATATTCCTTCGCTGAGAAAAAAAGTTCCTCGGATTATTTTAAACAAAATACTTGAACAGACATTGAAATAATGTCTCTAACATCAAAGGTATCCATGTTGCACCGGCGAAAAAAGTCCCACTTCCGGTTATCTAATTTGCATATCTAATTTGCATACTTATGTCATTGGTGTATGACATACATGTTTTTATGTCATAAGCTTATGTCATGGATAAATGCTTAAGTTAAATGATAAATCTCACTTAGTCCTGCACCATGACCGTGGAATATATTTATTTTATGAGAAAAAAAATATCTAGAAATGCATACAAAAGCAAGTCTAGCCAGCTCAAGCTAGCTCTAGTCCACATCTGAAATCAGCATAGGGATTTTAAGAAGAAGGATATTGTGTAATATAAGATTTCAGAGACAAAATGTTAGTCTACATCTCACTCTATTGAAACAGAATTGAAACGTGAAACATTGTTTAATCCTCGCTGCATTTTGTGAGTTGGGTAAACCATGTTTTGAAGAGTATTTCAGTGATATCACGGTGATGTGAGGTGCGATGAACGTTGACGTCGCGTTCCATATTATTGCTGTAAGATTAAAACGACCCCTGTCTATGTGTGTGGATGCGTGCGTGTGGCAGATTTGTTTGTTTGGTGTTTAACGCCGCGCTCAGCAATATTCCAGCTATATGACGGCGATCTGTAAATAATCAAGTTTGGACCAGACAATCCAGTATTTGATTTCACGAACATCGATTCACACAATTGGGATACGATGACATGCATCCCGTTAGTCGCCTCTTACGTCAAACATAGTCGCCTTTTACGGAAAGGATGGGTTGCTGAAGACCTATTCTTCCCCGGATCTTCACGGGTCGACTGATTTGTACTTTTTCCGGACTAATGTCGGTTTTATAGTGCCTTTATAGTAACCCACCAAGACACAGTATACTGACTCGGAGCTGACCTGACCTTGCTTTACCCCCTTAATGCCGAGTGTCAGGCAGGCGGAGTACAAGTACCTTTTAATGTCTTTTGGTATAATGCGACCAGGAGATGATATATCACGGCTTGTGCGCCTATTAATGTATGGCAGACATAGGTGATGCAGGTCACAGACGAGCAAAACCAGGAATCTTGGAGTCGAACCAGCGAACATAACATTCCGTTCCTCTTGTACGCGTAAGGGACACAACTCTGCACAACGACTGGATGGCAGGACAAAGTGCACTGTCCACCAGTGTAAGCGCAAATGAGAGCCCCGGGCCCGATGGTGACCTTAATCCAGCGATATCTGCTACCACTATCATTGTACAGACAGATGCAATTTATTGCAAATCGCAAGCCAGTAACGGATCCATTGCCTAAATTATCGACAGTCACTGTTCACAAATCTCCTATAGTCCGTATCAACATTCACAATGATCAATGTGTCCATAGGACAAGTTGAAGCGACAAAGGTTATGTTCTGTTGCGGACTTGCAAGGTTTCGTAATTGTAGAGAATACAATTGTAATTGTGTCAGTTTTATAATAACAAGTAAATATTGTCTCAAATTACCTTATACAAGAAAACAAATAAAATACAACAAAGTTATGATTTGAAACATTGTTCCAATATTTCTTTTGCAATGGGAACACACCAGGGTCGATAAGATAGGCATATCTGTTATTTTATAAATTCATGTTGAATCACATTGCTTTCAGTCTAATCATTCTGGTAACCTGGGAACCTATGCAAGGCATTGAAAGAGTTTGTTTAACACTATTACCACCTTTTTGACATTTCAACAATTTTGAGTGAGAGTGAGTTAGTTTAACGCTGTCTTTAACAATATTTCAACATAATCAGCTGAATAAAAATTCGAAATGACAGAGGATCCAGGCGTTTGTCACTTTGGTGAAACCCACGAGCACGGGTATGGTGCTGGCAAACCAAGAAACGTAAGATCAGGGCGACCCTGGGATTTTAACCCACGAGCAGGGACATACATTTACCCAGCGAATTCCGGCAACCAGACAACTGGGCCACACGTGTATCAATTAACAGCGGCTTCATAATCACACCACCATGTACTTCCGTCCTGAATATTACAGTCAACTCGGTGTTGACAGGAAATAAAATTCCTTGATCAAGCTGTACACATGTCAGTCGTTGTCACTTAGACATTCCTTCCGCGTACGAGACCACTCTTTGTCCCTGATTAACTGATCGACGAATAGCTTGCATTTCATCGGTCTCATTTAACGACAGAAGGAATGGTTGTGTAACAAATATTCTGTTGAACATTTAAGCATTCGGTACCAGTCGCACCTTCGGCAAATGCAATTTGGTTTCATTCGTCCTGAATTCGTGACATTCCGGGACAGCCGCATGGCCTGTTAGTACGTTACGGAAATGTGCGCGGACTAATGATTTGGTTTGTCCCAGAAAGGCAATGACATTCGTCACAGATCGCAACTTTCCGTAATCTATAAGAAACATCTGTGACCAACTCGTGTCATTTCGGCATATGTTACGGAATGGGGCGAGTGGTGAAGATATATGAAGCCAGCACTCGTGTTATTCCGGGACAAGCTGAAAAGCGACTCGTGCCCCTCTCGTGTCCATTTATGCGACCGGGTTCAGTCTTAGCGCAAACGGGCATACCCAAAACAATTGTCAACTCGTTGCGCAATGGTTCACATGAATTTCCCCATATATTATATATATTTCTAATGCAATTTAAAGCACATCGGGACATACGGAATTACACAGTATGATTAAACACATTTAACCGTGTCTTGGGTATATTTTTAGATGCAAGACATATGTCAAATCAAAAATAATTCCTGAGGGATTCTTTGACGAAGGACTTGAAGTTATACGCGCATTCTGATTGATTTGTCGTATTTTCGCACACAACATTCATCGATAGGGGGACGAGTCTTCATGCAGGTTACGGAAAGGGGCGAGTGGTGACGAATGATGAAGACAGTTCGGCGTGTCACGGAATGACACATGTTGATCATGAATGAGGACAATGCGTCAGAACTGGTGTCGCTTGGATGGCATTTCAGCATACCTCAAAATCAACTTACATTCAGAGGCAACTAGAAAAAAAACATTATTGGGATTCAATTTCATGGACAAGCCTATTGAAATCTATTACAATCCATGCAAAATGTTGCATAACTATAACAATTTATAAGAGTGTTTTAATATTGGCCTTATTACAGGCTCAAGGAAGGTTGTATTGGCCCAAAGCAGGCCTGTATTGGCCCGAGGCAGGCTGTATTGTCCGAGGCAGGCTGTATTGTCCGAGGCAGGCTGTATTGTCCGAGGCAGGCTGTATTGACCTGAGGCAGGCTGCATTGTCCGAGGCAGGTTGTATTGGCCTTAGGCAGGCTGTATTGACCAGAGGCAGGCTGTATTGGCCCGAGGCAGGCTGTATCGTCCGAGGCAGGCTGTATTGACCTTAAGCAGGCTGTATTGGCCTTAGGCAGGCTGTATTGGCCTTAGGCAGGCTGTATTGGCCTTAGGCAGGCTGTATTGACCCGAGGCAGGCTGTATTGGCCTTAGGCAGGATGTATTGACCCGAGGCAGGCTGTATTGGCCCGAGGCAGGCTGTATTGGCCCGAGGCAGGCGGTATTGACCCGAGGGAAGGCTGTATTGACCCGAGGCAG